TGTTGTTATTAACAAAGAGGTTTGTTTGAGTGTTCTTGAGCACATCTTAAATTTGTATGTGAGAGCAAGGACATTATCCTACGTTAAGGATAATCTACAAGATTATAAAGTTAAAGTAAAACAACACAAGTCAAAGGCACTGCGAACTTCACTAAAGAAGAAGAGTAGTCAAATATAGGTTATATATAAGATCAGTAGATTAATTGCACATTTGAAAATTAAATAAACTTATCTGATTTTATTATCTCATTTTTTTAAATAGCTACTTTTATAGCTGCAAATGACTAAAAATATTTTATGGTATCATCATATATTAGTAATAGTTTCACAATAGAATATTTGTTGTTTTCATGAAACTATTCCAAGTGACGGGTTATTCCAAGAGACAGGTTATTCCAAGTGACGGGTTATATTTATGTCTTTCTAGTCCTAAAACAACGTTTCATTTAATTTTTTTTATTATCATCCCTGTAACCTTTTCTTTTAAGAAGTTAATACTTCGAAATTTCAAAATTAATACTTCAAGTTGTCAAAAATAAAGGAGAATTTAAAAGGGGAATTAAAAGCGCGTGTGCTTGTTGGGAAGGGGGAAGATTTGCTTTGAAAGTCCAACAAAACAGGGGAGCGGTTTCTTATTTTTGTTCAAATATTTTTGACAAAGAGGAGGGGAAGGTCAAAAAAATTCGGACAATCCTTCTTGTTTTAATAAATTTAGTTATTTAAAAAATGAAAATTAGGCAGTGTTTCTAGTGGTTTGCAGCTTAGTGTTTGTATTTAGGGATGAGCGGCTGTCCAATTATTTATGTCAAAAAAAACTGTTGACATAAATAATGGACAGCCCTTTAGAGGAAATAAAACTTTCAAATTATTAAAAGAGGAGTGGCATTTTTATTTACTTCATTTTTTAAATGGGTTGCATTATACAGTAGAATCGCGTTAAGTCGGACCCTGGATAAGTTGGACAGTTTTTCAATTCCCCTATACATACTTTCTATACATACCGACAGCTTCGCTTAACTCGGACATTCACTAAGTCGGACAATTTTATTTTTTCCTTTTGAGAGTCTAACTTAAACGAGATTCTACTGTAGCTTAGAGTAGTTTGAATCTATTGTAAAATTACAAAGTTAAAGTGTTTTTTGCTATGTGGCGAGGGATCACTCAAAAGCGTACAAGGATGTGTTTAAGACAACGTGTATATATAAGTAATAACTTTTATTCTTATGAATATTTCTCAAAACTTGATTCCTTAACAAAACTTAAACAAAAGGCACTACATTTTCCCACGGTCTCCTGTCTTTTAAAATGTTTTTGTATATTGCCCAATTTCTTATTAAAATCATGGAAGTATAAAACATGAAAGAATAAAATGTTTTATACTTCCATATTAAAATACAGAAAAACGCAGAATTAACAAATTCTTATTATAAATTTAGATTTTAAAGTTTTGAATTTTTTAATAATACTTACAGAGTGTCAAAAAACTTATTTTAATATCTGTACAATGCTAAATAATGTTTTTACAAAGATCCCTGACAATGAAAATAACTGTTTAACAAAAAGTAGCTTAGACATTTTTTGAAATTACACTTTTATTATATTTGAATTTTATTTAAAACACAGTAAAAAACTATTTATTACAAACTTGCGAAAAATTTGTTTACTTATTTTTTTTTTATTTAGATCCCCCAAGAAATCCTTACGGTTTTATCACAAAGCACCGCGGATGAGCAATTTAATAGGAAGTTCACGCGTCCTTCCTAACCGATGTCGCAAAACTTACCGAGGGGGTTTGAACTACAAACCCTATGTTTTTAAAGCAAGTGCGCTACCACTGCGCCACGGCTGTTTACTGTCTATAGATAACTCTGTGTGAAAATATACAATAAACCACTTAGAATATCTACGATTTTACTTTGCAACATCTACTTGCCATTCTCTTATAACCTTTTGAGCGCCTTAGTGAAGAAAATCTTTGTTGCTTGTAATGCTTTAGTATTATTAGATTCCCAATGGGCACACAGACGTCAATTGTTCGTCTAAGGCCGTCTGTTCGGAAGTCCATTGGACGAACCAAATCTAACGTCTTTCGTCCGTCAATTTTGGACCTATAAAGTACGTCCAAGGACGTCCAAAACAGTCCGTTCGCACAGTGGGCATTATCAAATAGTGGACATTGCTAAAAAATCAATGTTATCAAAATAAATTTAAGTTAGTTTTTATTGAAAGCCAAATAAATTTCAAGTTCATTAAAAAAAAAAGTTATTTCAAAAGCAGGATTTAATCAGGAAATATACTAGTTTGAATAATGTAAATTTATTGCAAAAGAAATGTAATAGGTATAAATAATACATTTTTAGCTAATTTTTTATCAGAAAAAATAGTTTGCACTTTTATACAAAAATGTAAAAGAATGATCCTACCCATAAATTTAAATTTTTGTAAAACATTAAAAAATATTAATGCAAATAGTTTTACATTACTTTGTACATATTTTTATAAGGGGGAAATGTGTTCAGTAAAAGTGTATGTCTAGAAATTAATAAAAAGATTAAGACCAATTTTTGACCAACACCTCCACCCCCAGCCCTCTTTTCTATTGAACTTTTTTTTGACCAAATTTAATCTAGTTAGTACAACCATTAATAAAAAAAATATTGCAGCATTGAAATCTGTTTTAAAATGAAAGAATTGCATGAGTTACAACTAAAACTGAGGACTTGTTGGTGAATATAGTAATAATATAATACTTTAACTTATCACGTAAACTTGTTTATATTTTGAATTATATCTTTTTAAGTTTAAATCATTTTGTTTAAAAAGTTATTAGATAATGAATCAACACAAATATTTACATCATTAGTTTAATAACAATGAAGCTCACTGAATTTGACTTATTTGAAATTTTCAGTATTGAGAAAAGTAAACAACCAAAAACTATTTCTGCAAATATAACAGGTTATATACTGGTAATTGCTTAGGCACTTGGCTCCAATGAATTGACATTTGTATAAAAAACAAAAGTTCAGAATAGTTGGCAAAAATCTGCATCTGAAGAAAAACAAACTTAAAAAAATGGGCTATGCTAGCATTCAATTCAAGGCTGGTGAGGAAACCTTGCTTGAAAAGTATGTTAAAGAAAAACTTTTTCAATACGTTTCCATTAGAAACAATTTAAACAGTTGGTGCTCTCGGTAGGCATTCATATACAAACAAACCAAAAACCTTTTTCAACTGCTGGTTTTTATATATTGCCTAGTTGGAAACATCTCAGAAGAAAACAATCTGAAATAACACCAATTATTATGAATTACTTGAACTTTATTCATGTGTTTACTTCAGTTTATTTCAGGCTATTAAAGTGACGATTCAAAGGATATTGGAGAACATTTTTTTAGATATAAACATTGAAAATATACAAATGAAAATAAAGTTTGGATTTGATCGTTGTGGATACCATAAAATATTTAACTAAAAAGATAATGTTAACACTAGCAATATCATACTGACGACGTTTTGTCCATTTTCACCTGAAACAGAAGCAGGTTTGTTAATATGGTTGAAAAAGTCACAAAATGCCCAACTTAGTCACAAACTCTTTAATCATTTTCTGTTTTTAATTCGGACATTCAAAAGGTAAAAGATAAAGGTTTCCTTATGTTAAGAGGGAAAAAATTTTAATATAAAGGTGAAAGTGCAGTCATATATGATGGTTATGGAAGCAGCGAATCTTTTTTTAGAAGTTGGAGGTACACATTGAGATATAGGCACATGCTCAAAAGATCAGTGTTTGAAAATTGAAAAAATTGAATGAAATACACTATAACTATGAATGAAACATTTAACCAATTTGAACAAGAAGACTTTTTACTCTGTACATATGGCCATTTCATGAAGAAGGTTGTAGATGTGAAAGCTAGTGTTATTGGTCTTAGTCCCTGTTCAGTACTTCAAATAGATTTCTGAAGCAAGTAAACACTTCATTATAAAAAGAGATATTAAAATAGACAGGTATAAAATGGAACTACCCTGATACAATAGGAAAAGGAGGAACAGCAACAACAGGTTGTATAGCTAAAGAACTATTGAACAAAAATCATATAGAGATTTATTGCACAATTGCCTGTTCAATATCATGCAATATTTCAAAAGTTTGATTTGGTGCTCTCAGTAATTCTTTGAGTATTTTCCTCAAAAAGAAAAATTTATGTAGATCAATATAAAAACTACAGATTTTTATTTATTTCTTATTTCACGAGTTTTCCACCTGTTACAAAAATAAATTTACCTGGACAATTGATCAGTATAGCACAATTACTTCAGAAACTGATTGGTCATTCTTGGGAGAATTCGTCATTCTTTATAATTCAAGGTTAAAAAGTAATAACAAAAATATTGATAAGATTGATACATGCTAGACTCTCAAGTAAAAACCTCCTAAATTGTCAATTTAACATACACCATTAACTGAATGTGGATATCATCTAACCAATTTTTTTTTTGACAAGAGATACAAGTCGAAATCATTCTGCAAATTTTGGTATGAATGGAGGACATTCTGATAAATATTGTCATAAACAAAATATCTTTTATAACATACGAATAAATTGCATAATTTAGTACTTCTTTTGGTAACTTTTATTGTCTTTGTTATGTACATATGATATCTTTGTATTACAAAATATACATACATATTTATAAACATTTATACGAATTTTTGTTATAACCTATAAGAAAGCAAAATTTATGAAATTTTCAATACTTTGTTCTTTTAAGCCATGAACTAAATATCCTGCATTTTCTTATCGACTCCATTTCTAACAACTATAAAAATGGAGTCTTGATATAAGAAATAAAGTCTTTTTTTTCTTCTACTAAGCATAAATCTAATATACGCGTGTTTTTGAGATTCAACACGAGTGGCAACCCTCATTAGGATAATAATATGGATACTTCATAAATAATTAAATTTCAGTATTGACACGAATTGTTCAAAAAAATTAAAAGAGCAATATTTTTGACAATATTAATATATAAATACAATCTAGCAAAAACATTATTTTTTGGGTCGTTTTAATATGTCGCCAATGGCACCCTCGATGTTGCTTGCATCATAACCAATTTTGTCACCAACAATAGTATCTAAAGAAATAATATTTATCACAATATTGTCTGTCAATCCTAGAGCATGTTTTAGAAAATCGAAAATAAACAATTAAATTCAAAAGCAAAGTAAAGAAACTTTTCTTTAGAATTTAATTGCTAAAAAGTCATCTAACTAAAAGACATCCACAATAAAAATTTATATTATAATACTTGTTGTTAGTTTTGGAAAGTCATACATAAAAAAAATAAACTAAAACAAAAAACGACCGCAAATGTATTTGCAAATAACGAATAGGAGAAAACAAGCAATGTACTACTGTTTCACGTTTTGCTATTTAATGTTAACAAAAATATTTCAGTCTTATATAAGATGCAATAGCTACAAAATCGCATTCAATCCTCACCTTTTATGCATTTATAATAAAGAGTGCTCTTAAATTTACTTTTTTCTTTTTTTCCATTCTCGCTAAATAATGCCTGTATTCCATAATATCATTTAAAACATTTTTAACTGTTTCCAGTGGAGTCGCTTCTCCCACTCCTCTCATTTGAGTAACCCAAAAAATTATCAAAATAAATTAAAAGCATGACTAAATATTAAATTATTCACCTTTTTTACAAGTTTTTAGAAGTACTAATATATATATATATATATATATATATATATATATATATATATATATATATATATATATATATATATATATATATATATATATATATATATATATATATATATATATATATATATATATATATGTATATATATATATATATATATATATATATATATATATATATATATATATATATATATATATATATATATATGTATGTATATGTATATATATATATATATATATGTATGTATAAAAGAAATAAATATAAACCCTTTATTGGAGATCTCTGTTAATTTAAAAAATATTTTACAACTACAACTATATTTATGTAAACCACTACAAATTATTATATAAACTATTTAATAAATTTATATTGCATACAAAATTTATATTAAAAAAATAAAGAAATATAGTTCTATTATTAGTATGAAGATATTTGAATTGGTAACAGATTACTACATCTGTCCAGCAGCATCTGTGGAGTAGTCATCTGTACACTTTTGTCCAAGATCATCTGTATTTTTCTTTTACTCTAATAGTGTCTTGTTTTCATAACATTCAATTCTTCATTGTCTTTGATTTAATTAGCATTTTTGTGTAAATAGAATGTCATTAAAGTAAATAATTCTATAAAACGGTTTGTGTTTTTTTAATAATTATGAACTGTTTTTTTTTTTTTTTAATTTATTTATATTTAGATATTTTTTAGAGCTATTTATACAACATTTTTAGAACTATTTACATTTTTAATTTAAAGTTTGTGGAATAAAAAAGTATGTGCATTTGTTCTTGGTACTAAGAAAAAGGACTAACCTTATCGAATAAGTTAAAAAATTAACACTATGTTATTTTAACCATTTTGAAAATATTTTATATTCACGCATGCGTAAAAGTCAGTCCAATCGACGTCCGAGAGGTGCTATTTTTTTTTTATTTTTTTTTTTTTCAAGTTTATTTTTTGACTTAGCGATCGTCCAAATGACGTAACGCAAAATTTCACAATAAACAAAACAAAAAAAGATTAAAAGTTTTCCCTCGCAGAGTCTTAATTTGAATAAATAATCAAAATAGCAAATGAAAATCGCTGCGTAAAAGAGCCTAATCCTACTTCTGTTCTTAAAATATTTTTTGCGTTGCGTAATTTATGTACGATCCCTTAGAGACGTGTTTGGACGTATTTGGATATCCAAAAACGGTACGTACTATGGACGTCCAAGGACGCCCTGTGCTTATTGGGGTTGGAGCTTATTTCTGAAATTTTTTTTTTTTTTTTTTTTTTTTTTTTTTGTCTTTTATCAAAGCTTTACAAATACGTGATCATAAATATAAACTAGTTCGTTTACATTGTATAAAAAAAATACCGTACATATAATAAGAAAACTTTTTTTAATACAAATAATAATATATATAAAAAAGTAACAGTGTTAAAATTCGGCCAGTTAAGTGAAATTTAACCATATTTCCCATATGTCAAACTCGCGTAATAAAGTCTTTCGTTTGGCATTAATAAATAAGCCTAATAAAACTATGATTAAATAAAATAAGCCTAATAAAAATATGGTTAAATAAAAGACACTAAAAGATATGATGTAGTTTTTTTAACTAATGTAAACAAGAACACTTAATTTCTGTAATCGTTTTTTGAAGAAACTGTAAAAATCTAATTTAAAACAAATTTAAATCTTTTTAAAGACTCGAAAATAAACAATAGAAACTCCCTAACACTACGCAATTTTCAATTGTTTTTTTATAACATCATAGTAAAGCCGCAGAAACATATTTGTTCCGATAGATTGTAAAACGCATTAGCGCAAAAACCAAAGTTTTCTTATCTAACTTCCTAAAGTTTACGGGAAAAAAAAGTCAGACGAAATATCGTCTAGTCTAAATTTGTTCTTACTGAAATAATCATTTTTTTATAAAATGATTATTTCAGTATAAATAAAAGGCCAATTCAAATTTCTAATCACTGAAACGTTATTTTAACCTCTATCAAAATATTGAAATTGTTTTTTTAAACAATTGCAGAATTATAAAAACGAAATGGTATTATGTATTTTGGTTTTTAATTTCTTTCCAACCATTTTAGATAATTAACCGTACATAATTTGTTTAATAACTGCTGTAATTGGGTTTTAATAACTGCTGTAATTGGGTTTTAAGTGTTAAAAATATATAGTAAAGCTTTTTTTTTTTAATAATGTATTCAAGTTAAAAAACTTTTACTTGATTTTTTTTTTTTTTTTTTTTTTTTTTTTTTGTATATCTAAGGACGTAACAGACAGCAGACATCCCTTAGACACGCCCCTGGTAAATATTACTTCACTGATATAAAATTACATAATTTTTGACGTCACAATGAAACAGTGGTTTAGTATTAAAAAACGTAAAACTGGTATTTTTAAAGTAAAAGTAAAAAGTAATTGGAAACATTAAAAGCAGTTTTAATTTAAAAATGATGAAAACAAATTTTTTCAAATGTTTGCTCCTCTGTTTCATTATAATCAAAATCAACAATAGCGAAGGTAAAAGTTTAATTAATAAAAAAAAATTGTTAAAAAGTTATTAATTTGTTAATAATGTTAAATTTGGAACTTTTTTTTGAACATTTTTAAAACTATATTATATTTTAGGCTATGACGTTCGTGTTTGTACGGGATGTACCAAAAGTTTAAATAACAGAGTCCAATGCTTTGGACCAAGTGAAGAAGTTGATTGTGCCATATGCGGCTGTAGGGTAGCAAGTAAGCTTTTTGCTATTAATTATTTTTTCTAATAGGCTTCAATGTAGTTTTGCTCACATAATTATGGTAATCAAAAATATAAAAAAATTTATTCATATGTTAAAGCAACTGGTATCTTCCTAACGCCATTCAACCTCCCCCCCCCCCCTAATCCTCCGATAAAAGAAAAAAGAAAAAAAAAGAACAGGGTTTTTTAAAATAAAATTTTAGCGCAGTTCTTTTAAGCAAACAATATTTTAATATTCGGATATTGTTTTCTAATCTGAAACCTTTTTCCGAACATCTAAACCTTTATAGTACAAATTACATGTTTGATATTTAAACAAAATTCTGATGTTTTAGTTTTTATAAAATTTTATAAAAACTAAAACATCAGAATTTTGTTTAAATATCAAACATTTGATTTGTTTTAAGTATTTTATTTTTTAATTAATAAATTTAACATTTAACATTTATTAACATTTAATTTCTTTTAAGTATTTATTATAATACTTAAGACCTTTTTTTGAAAATATGTTTAAATAATTGCTAAATAGTTGCTATATGCTTTTTGATAATGTGATATTTAAATTAGAAAATGGCGAAGTAATAGAAACTCGTCTAAACAAACAAAATGTTGAACAATATTTTTTTTACTTTATTTTTGTGGGTAAAAAAAAAGTTAGGATTGTTAACATCAGTTGCAGGTTCATTACACTACTGCAAGAGCATGGGTAAGTTAGATATTCCGAGAAAACCCGCGTTTTAATTAACGAGATGCAATATTTGCAATGTAAGTTTATATAATTAACTTAGACTGTAGTTAATATCTACTATGTAGCTATGTTAGTTTTATTTTATCTAGATTCTACATAGTATAAAACTTACATAGTTATCTGCTCTAAAACATAGTCGACCAATAATTTTTTAGGTTAGCAAAATTATATACTTTTGATATGACTATTTTTTGGTCTTTTATGTTTATACATTTTTTTTAATTTCAATAAAACACTTTTTTTTTTTTTTAGCTATAAATTGTTCTGGAATGTGTTGTTTTAATGGAAGCTGTGATTTTAAAAAAGGGGTGATGAATTGGACATGTCCGAAAAATAAAGTTTGCTATAATGTCAATTGTGCCAAAAGTTGTCGATAAAGTTGCGGTCAACTACTTAGTCAACAACATGCACAAAAAAGTTACTTTATATGTTAATACTGATATAACGATTTGATGTAGATTGTAATTATTTTTGTAATTTTATAACCAATAAGTAAATAAAATGAGTAAATAAAATGAGTAAATAAAATGGTCAAAAAAAAAGCTCTAGTATTTTTTTTTTTAGCCTAAGTTTTAAGATTCTTTAAAATTTTAATTGCCATTTTATTTTAGTATTAATATATTTAACAATTATAAATAGTAATAATAGAAACAATAGCTAATTCTTTTTGTATTATAAAGAAAAAAAAGTTTGATTGTTTAAATAACTTTACGACTGGATTAAAAAAATAAAACTCGAACAACATCAAACAACTAACACCAGCAACAATAACTACAACAATAAAAACAATATCTCTAAAACAAAAAACTTACATTATTAAATTACAATAAATTATCACTTATCTTAAGTTTAAAAATGGAGTAAACGTATGAGTTAAGATGCTGCTTAAGTCAATATCGAAAATGTTGCAATATAAAAACTATTTGTACACCTGGTACACAACTTGTACACTTAGTGAAACTATATTTATACACCTTATACAGTATCAAAATTGTTACATTTTTTAAGTAAAAATTCATCATGAGACTTGGTGATAGTCTGAATTCGCCACTGATGTCAAAAAAGGCCAGCGTTAAAGTAATTCTTTTGGACGTGTAGTCTCTGAAATTTTTGCTTTTTGAAAAGCGCTTTGTCGATTTTTCACTATAACTACTTATTGAATATTTGTCCCGATATAATAACGAGAAAAATTTTAAACTTGAATGGCAACAAAAAAAATGTATTTTTTGTCAACTAAAGCTCGCTAAGAATTATTTGATAAATATATTACAAGAACAGATTTTTAAATTGTAAAAAAGGATGTTTTAAATTGTAAAAAAGGATGTCGAAACAAAAAAAAGTTGCTTTTTTCAATTTTCGGCGTATTTAAAAGACGTAATTATTGCAAAAAACTTCGTATGCCTGAGGAGTTTTTTTTTCATAAGGTACAAAAATCAATTTTAAATTTCGAATAACAGCAGGTTCGAATAACTGAAGAATGTTTCGAATAACTGCAGGTTCGAATAACTGAAGAATGTTTCGAATAACTGTAGGTTCGAATAACTGAAGAATGTTTCGAATAACTGCAGGTTCGAATAACTGAAGAATGTTCGAATAAGTTTGTTAAAGGACAATTTCCTTCAAATTAAAAAAAAAAAATTCTTTTTTTTTCAACAATTATAGAACAAAATTTTATGCAGATTTCAAATCTGCAAAAATAATTAGTTGTTTTTTAATTAAATCTTGTTTAATTTTTGTTAATTTGAACCTAAGTAAAAAACATGTCCGTAGCAATGCGCATAGCAAGGATGTAAATGTTCTTTTTGCGTGCTTTTCCTGAATTACCAATCTCAAATCAGATTTGGGTTTATATCCTATTTGCTCTTTAATATTCTGTTCCGTTTTATATTAAGACCTATTGCAAACTAATTTTATCAAGAAATTGCAAAGGTTTTATCAAGTAAACAAAGCTAAGTTAAAAACAGCATTAACAAAAGTATGACAAAACCACCTAATAAGGGTGTTATCAAAATCACAAAAATGACCCAGTAAGCACAAGACGCATTTTAGACACTTATAGACGTCTAAAACAAGTCTAGGTAAAGACGCACTTTTATAGGCGTTATAAAGACATATTTTAGACGGTTTTTATGAATGCGTTTTTAAAATGACGTTTAAAAGGCGTCTATTTAAGCGTTAAAAAAACGTCTAGAAGATATCTTTTTTTAAGACATCTTCTAGACGTCTTTAATAAATGCGATTTTAACATGATGTTTAAAATGCGTCTTTTTAAAGTTTAAAAATACGTTTAAAAGACGCGTAATAAATAGTCTAAAATACGCATTAAAAGACGTCTAGATCAAAGCTAAAAGACGTCTTTTCTGAGACCTGTTTATAAATATGTCATTATGACTTCTTTTTGACGGCTTTGTCATTACGCGTTAAGTAGATGTCGTATATTCAAAGTAAAAACATAGTTTTTATTATTTTCAATAATTTGTTCAAGTTTTAAGTGTAAATTACTTTAAATTAAATTACTTTTTTACACAGTTGCTAAAATTGTTGTCACAGGAATCACTAAAATAATTGCTATAATAATAATATATCTTTTTTTTATTAATAATTATTTTGCTTTTTTAATAGATAGTTGACTGATCATGATAATAAGTGAAAATGGCAAGAATAATATATAAGTTAAATATCAGTACTTTTAGTTTTTATACACCCACAAGCCATATAATAAGTCAAGTATGCGGTCAAAAATTAGCTACAAATAGGTATGATAAATTTTTTTATAACTAAAGGTTAGTTGTAAATGTTTCTAATACTGTTTTGATATATATTTGTAATTGTTATTTATTATTTTCATCTTTGATGCATCAATTGTTGGTGGTGATTACAGCAATATTATTTTGATTGCTGGTTCCTATGTATATTTTGTATATACGAAATTATAACAATAAATGATGTTATAAATACAATGAATATATACCACATACTACGCGAAAATGTTACGTCATGTACTTAAATTTATCTTGATAAAAACGTCTAACATAAAACGACGTCTAAAACGACGTCTAAAACGACGTCTAAAAAGACGTCTAAAAAGACGTCTAAATGAAGACGTCTAAAACGACGTCTTCATTTAGACGTCTTTTAGCCTTATGATCTAGACGTCTACAAGTGCGCCTTTTAGACCTCCTTAAAGACATCTTTAAAACGTCTTTTAAACGTCTTTGTGCTTACTGGGGAACAATAGAGTTAAACGAAGAACAAAATATCATAAAAAACAGAGAAGTTTTGTTGGATTTAATATGCAGACGCATGATGATGCAAGTAATGTAAACAAGTGTGAGTTAAATGTTGATGTTTTTGTACGAAAATTTGGAATTTTTTAACTTAGTTTAAATTCATTAAAATTAATACTGAAGTTTTTTCTTGTAATAAATATTTTTTAATACATTTTATTGTTCTTAAACAAATATTATTAAATTTAGTATTCGAACTTTTTTAAGTGGAACTGATTTTTTTTTTATTAAAAAAATGTAAAAAATTAATATAGTTTTTTAAATTTAAAATGTGTTAAAAAAAAAAGGTAAAGAAAAAATTGAAAATTAAAAAAATTATGTGTGATTTTAATGTTCTTGAGTGCGGTTTTATCATAACGTTGTAGAAAACCGCATACATTTTTTTTACCTCTATTATTTTAATAGTTTTTTTTTTTTTTTTTTTTTTTAATATTTATTTATATATTCTTTAGTATTTTTTTTAACATCTATCTAATGAAAAAATATAAAAATAAATATTATAAAAAAGTTCTTGAATTTTAACTGATAATTGTTTTGACCCGATTTTACACGTATTTTACGTATTGCATTTTTCAAGTAATTAAAATGTCATAAACATTTTCCTGGTTTTAAAAGTGACCGCAGTTACTTAATAAAATGTTTTCGTTATTCAACAGTTAAGTATTATTTAATACATTTTATAAACTGTTCAACAACTTATATTGGGGTAAATGCGTTTTAAAATGCAAATACCTATCTTCCTTTTAAATTTTGCAAGTATCGCCAACCGACGAACAACTATACTCTGAAAGCAATAAATATATTCATAATAACTTATTTAACGATTACCTTTTTGGTTTATGTCAATACTTTCGCCTGTCTAACTGTAGCGTTTGCGGGTTATAATAGTCGGGAGAGAAGACGCAACAATAAATGTTGTATATTGCGTATTGTATTTGTGGTGGTGGTTACATTAACATTACAATAGGTTTGGGGAGGGATAATAAAGGGAGGGAATTTAATGCTCATTTATAATTTTTAAGTGAATGCAATATTTTTATATCTTCCGTATTTGAATAACTGGTTTTTTCCGCCACGTTTATTTGTTTGGATTATTCATGGTCAACAAAATTTACTGCTTCCTTTATTTTATTTAAATTTTAATTTAAAAAATTTAAAAATCCAAACTCATTTTGTTGTTTTTTAATTTATCTTAATGTTAATTTATCTTATGCTTTCATTCTTAAACTCAAAAACTCAAAAATTTTGGAAATATATGTTAAAATTAACGTGCTGGTATTTTATTTAAATTACAAGCTGGTATTTAATAATACGAATAAATTAAATTGCGTCTTATAAAACTTTACATTCATAGTCATAGTTTTCCTTTTGCTCGTCTACATTATTATTTTTACATCCTTTACACTTGCACATATCAGTACAGACAAGTTTATTGTTCAAATATTTGCACCTTTTATTATTACAGTCTCCTTTACAACGACAGACGCTCGATAAGTACTATTGGTGCTGGCAGCTTATCAGTCATTATGGGGTCAAAAAATCGATTAAATCCGTCTGTTGTAAAAATCCGGAGGTTAAAAAATAAAAGATTTTTGTTTAAAATTTGTTCTAAATAATATAAATTTTATAATAACGAGTATTTCTTAAATAATAATAAAAAACAAATTTTAAAAAAGATAAAATCCGCGTTCAAAAAAGTGTTTTGAAAATTATTTAAAGTCACAAAGCAGCGGTTTACCCCCGGTTTGATAAAAACATATTTACCCTGTATCTTTTTAAGTAAAAACTTTCAACATATGTTTTTTATATTATTTTGAATACCTGATTTATGTTCTTTCAATTGCTATAAAAAAAAAAATTTAATTTGCTTATAAAAAAAGTTTAGTTGCTATGGGGACCAGTTACGTCATACCACCTGTCATGCAAAATGAAAATCAAGTGACACCTGTCATTGTTCAAATCCTTATCATACAAGGATCTCATATCAACAAAAATTTTGCTTGTAAAACGTATGTGCACACGAAGGTACACAGTGGCTTGCATTATAAGAACTCTCAGTTCTTTAATATTTTCTCTAATACTAACATATCCATTTTTAAACATGCGACATGCTTGCATTTGTTTTTTACAGACTAAAGCTAGTTTTACTTGGTAAGTACTTGCCCA